AGATATTCATGTACTACCTTTTGGGAACGGTAACAAAAAAGGCTAACTTGTCACCTTATTTCCTTACAGATAATTCTTTAATAATGAAGTTATTATTCATGCTTTTTTTGAGAATTTAAAATTTTTTATTGTGACCCAAAACAATACTCACATGTATACACACACACAACTGAAATTAAAGTTATATGAAAGAGTGTTAACCTCCACTAGATGCATTCTGATATTTTCTACTTTACCCTGTGCAATTCCATTCCATCTCATCTCATTCTATTCCATTCCTTTTTGCTTCTTTTTTAAATGGTTGGTCAAAGCACACTAAATTCCCAACCCCTTGACCCTCAGTTTGAAGAACACTAGGCTAAAGGAAAATAAATATTCCCTTCCCCTAACTCTCAAATTTAGAATAATTCATCATTGTACATCGTAATGCATATGAATGGCCACTGGTCATTCAGACCTTTGAGGAAGGCTGATAGTATGAAAGAGAGACCAAATGGGAAGAAAATAAGGAGAGAAATATGTATGTGTGTGTGTTAGTGTGTGTGTGTGTTGGAGGTGGTAAAATCGTTATAATCATAAGAATAATTAATAGTAAATTTCTAAAATGGATATACCAAGTATTAACAGCATAAACCCATTATTTGGAAATACAGAGGTAAATGTGAGAAAAAATTGAAATTGGTTACTTTCAAGAAGTAAGACTGGTGGATAGAAAAGATATAGAAAAATGGACTGCTTCTTTTCCATAAAAGCTTTTTAGTACCTTAATTTTTTTTAGCTATGTACAATATAGCTACAATAGTTTAAAATTTAATTGGAAAACTTTGCCACGGATTCTAAGAGCATTCTTTCTACTTCTTTCTTATATCCCTGCTGTGCCCTAATGCAGTCCTTAACTCTGACTTTCCCTACAGCATCCATCCTAGATCAACTTATATTCCATCAAGTAAGTGCTGCCCCTGACATGGGGGACTCTATGGAATTCTGGATGCAATATTGCACATACCATTTCAACTATATGTTCTTTGCTGCCTTTACTTACAATTTAAACTATCTCAAACCATGATAAAGAGCTATATTTACCATGGAAAGCATTTAAATGATAACTAAGCCGAGAAAGGAAACATGTTGGGGATTGAGGGCACCTTTTCTGTCCTTGTGGTCCCTAAGTATGTAGGTGGTTGTGTATTTACATTTTTTTCTTGGGGAAGGGTTTTTCTGTGAACCAGCCCCAGCACATGGCTCCTCTCAGGCACTCTTCGGGAAACTCAGCTTACCATCTGCTTAGCAGGAATACTGGGAAGGACATTACTGGGGAACACTCTGGCAGCCCCAACCCCCAAATACTTTTCACTTAAGACACTAAACATTTTGAAACAGACTCTTGGAGAACAGCACAACAGCCTTTCTGGCAGCCTTCATGGTGTTCCTCAATGGTTATTTCTGTTCCTCTGTCTAAAAACAACAGAGGGAGGAGGAGATCACACGCTCCTCGGGGGGCCAGGACTCTTCTTTAAAGTTGCCAAGAGATGCAGCGGCAGCTGTGCCCATTGGAAGACATCAACTTGTGCCACCTGCCCAAGCTCATCACATAATGAGGGGGTCAAGTGTAACCAGCCTCTCATATGGGGATTTGGATTATTTTGTAAAAAACAAAAAACAAAAAAGGAGATGAGCTATCTTCCTTACCCCTCTCCCCCTTCTCTGTAGAGACAGGTGCCTTTGGGGAATAGACAGATATATATGTATCTGAGCTAAGTCTCAGTTCTGAGAATTCTAAGGAAAAGAATATGGAGGTGCACCTTGAACAGCAATCCCATTGGAAGGCTCACGGATGACTTAGATACCCTGTCACCTGCCCAGATGAGACATGGCTAATGGGACTGGTACTAGAGTGGAAATTAGGACGGCGGTCCGTGATTTTGCTCTGCACTCACTGTGTAACTTAATGTAGCGCCATTCACGTCTCCACAGCCCCCATCTCCTCAATTGAGCAACAGGACAATGCTGACTTCTCCACCTTCCTCATTGGTGATCTGCAAGTACATCAGATGGCACATCAAAGAGCTCTAGGTAAAGCTAAGTTCTTATATAAATGGGATGCCTAAAAAGAGTTTCTGATATAATTTTTGAGATGGATGAAGGTTTATCTCATGGACTAAGAAGAACAGACCCCAGACTGCAAATTTTTCCATGCAATACAAAGGGCAATCAGCATGCAGCCTCTACCACTCTCAAGCCGGCTGCCTTCCTAGTCAAGTCTCTCAATTCCTGTAACTCAGGGCAAACCTGATGGCCCTCCCACCTTCTAGTCCCATCACTAATCCAGCATCTTGTCCTTTATTCCCTTTCTTGTTATTTCAGATGACAGTAAGGAACAGGGAAGCAACATACATGAGTGAGCCAGCCTCAGCACAGAGACATGTGGCCACTCATGGATGGCCCACACCATCGAAGGGGCCACCATGACTCAGCTCCTGAAGTTACCGGGTCCTCCAGTCTTTGAAGAGAAGATGGAAATCTGATGTTACAGAGAAATCATTGAGTGTTGAAAGATTAACCAATAATTTTTGTAATGTTTGAAACATCATGGGAATGAACAAGAAATATTTACACAGAAGCTGAAAGTTTGCAATCTCTGATCTAGGCCAACTCCCATCTTTTGACAAGTAAAAATCCTCAAGTCTTAAAAATCAACACAGTGTGGTTCGAAGACTCTGTGCTTGGGAGTCAGCAAGGATCAAGGCTCAAATCTCTCATCTGCAGTTAACTTACTGTATGACTTTGGGTAAGTTTCTTACCATTTTGAATCTGTTTCCTCAGCTGTGAAAGGGGGTAATTATACATTCATCATAAAGTTTTTAGAGAAAATAAATAAGATCATAGATAATACATGAAAAGTACCTGGTGCATAATAGGCACTCAGTGACTCCTTTTCCCTCGCAGCTAACAAGTTAACAATACTAACTATGCAAGAATCCATACACTTTTATCTACTGAATCCAGCCGGATTCTTTACCCCACTGTATTCCCCACTGTTTCCTTGCCTGCAGAGTTCTCATTTTCAGAGACATAGGGTATGATTTACCCTGGAACCTGAGCATAAGATTAGGACTTTAGACACTTACTTTTTTTTTTTAATGTTTATTTATTTTTGAGAGAGAGACAGAGCATTAGCAGGGGAGGAGTGGGGGGGGGGGCAGAGAGACACAGAATCTGATGCAGGCTCTCAACTGTCATCCCAGAGCCCAGTGTGGGGCTCGAACCCACAAACCATGAGATCATGACCTGGGTAGAAGTGGGATGTTTAACCCAGGCTCCCCTAGACACCTGTTTTCTAATTCACCTCTTTTCCCAGGAACAAGAACCAACCACCCTGTACACATCTCATTTTTCTTCTTCTGGAACAAAAGTGACCACCAGTGTGAAATGGGACAAGAAATCTGTATTAAGTTGCCCTCAATCACGGTAGGCCCATCCGTGAAACCCAGAATGCCCATGGGTCTGGGATCAGCCTGTAATTTGGCATTCCAGTGCCTAAGGAATGTGTTTTTAAAAGGAGGTAATTATTACTATTCAGATATGATGAGGCTAATAGATGAAGAGATGATTGCCATTGAGAAGATGGTTTGTTACTCACAGGTCTCAAGAGGAGGGGGCATGTGATGCCACAGAGGCCATGTATGGAAGCAACATGGCCGGTCAGGAGGCAGAGTGAGGAAATGTTGGCAGGAACCTTTATTGTAGTTTGCACAGGAAGGAAGAAGCAAGGCAAGGCAAGCAAGCCTAGGATCGGCTAGTGTGAATAATTTCTTTAGGGTCTGGGTATATGGACTGTCTCCAGTTGTCTGGTACCTGACCCTGGTACCAGGGCTCATGACACATTGCGGTCACTGAGGGGACGGAAGCAAGGGGTAAGTGGCACCATAGGTGGCCAGGGTATGGGCTCTGGATCGGTTGGTTTGCATATGAAAGTTGTGCCGGTAGCCAAGTCCTTTAGAGCCTCCAGGAATTGCGAAGTCCTCGGTGGGACAGTGCTCCCTGGGTCTGCAAGGGGCCCCATGCCAAAGCATTAGAAATAGAGAAAATATAAAGGAATGATTAATACAGACTCTTCTCAGATCAGTGAGGATTTGCCCCCTCCAATCATCACTGGACAGACATCAGCATGTCGAGGAGGAGGCTTTCATAATAGGCTTCCAGTATAAGAAACAAAGAGAGGGGATACATTACTAAAAGTCTTCACAGGGAAAGGCCCTTGTGTAGGAATAGAAGAGAAGGTCAGGGTGCTCTGAGGGGAAAGGCAACAGGAGACTAATACACCCTGGAGCCCAAAGCAAGGATAGGCATGCTGCCTTTAAAAAAAAAAAAAGTTTTTTGCAGGTAAGCCCAGTCCATGGCCTCCATCTCTTAACATCCTGGGTACTCTTTATGAGGCTAAATGAAGCCTTGCTCTCTCTTGAGTGGAGAAAATTAAATTTGAACGCTGGAATTGCAATGGAATGATAATTATTCTGCTTGAGTGCATTGACCTTTATCAACCATTTCATCAGAATTTCTGGAGCACGACATTGTGTTCGGCGTCCTCTGCAAATGTCCATCTGAAGGAGGAGCCTTCTCTCCTGGCTCAAGCCCAGACCATCATTCTCCAGCATCCCAGGAGAGGGAAGGCAGAATCAAATCCGAAGAACTCTGAAATCTAGTTAGCGAATAGTGGTAGGAGACAACGAAAATTGCAGTCAGGCAGCAAAAATCTCTGGAGAATGCAGTGTTTCTTCCTGTGACTGACTGAAAAAACAATTCCATTTCTCAATATTCCTCCATCAGAGGCTTGGATTTCAGTACGAGATCATGTACAAATTGCCGGTTTGAGGCTCTTCTGTCAGTTCAACTAGATAATCAGAAAAGAATGGCTACACACACACGTATGAAGTCATGCTCATCAGAAAAGCAAAATGCGTTTAAGACAAGAGGCGCAGGATTTTAAAGACTAGACAACATTTTACTATTTAAGAAAAAATATTTTTATTCGCAAGAAATGGAAATACAAAAGCATAACAATTTCAATTCGTTTTTCCCCAAACTGAGTACAAGTATCCTACAAAGCGTTTTTATTTTGGGTATTTGCTTAGCTATGATGAAGAATAAAAAGCCATAAAAAACCCAGCACAATATGACAGATAATAGACTCACAATCTATTTAGACTTAAACGCTGCTGGTCTATAGAAGTATTACAAAAGAGAGGTGAAGTCCAGCCTGTCAGCATAGACATTAAAGCTCATGGTTGATTATAGTCTAGGGTCTGCTCAGCATTGTTTAAACAGGGTCCCTCATGATTTGTCATGGAGTGCTGGTGTTTTCCACAGACTCATAAAATGTTTTATCTGCAAGGGAGAGGTTCCAGGAAGTGGAGGCCCTGGGTCCATGGTGCAAAAAGTTCACGTTCTCCACCTAGCTGGTGAGCAAAGGACAGGGGCCGAGGAATGGAATTAAAGTGCTGGGGTTTTCTTTTCCAGGATGCAGAGGAGACTGTTGGCTGGAATTCACAGAAGACGGGATGAACAAGACAGCAGATACGCATCTGGTGGATGCCTCCAGCATGAGGCAAAGGGCGCAACGTTGCACAGTGGGGCCAGCGCAGGGAGCCCACACCGTGGTTCCTGCCCCGAGAACCTTAAAAGTTCACAGAAAGGAATCTGCGCAACCGAATCCACCACCTGTACTTCCCGTTATCACTTAGCTGTTTGTCTCTCTCAAGGTAACCAGTTGCCCTGTTTTCTCTATTTAGAAAATTAAAAGCCAGAATGTATTGAGCACAATACCCAGCCAGCACTTAATAAGTGCTCAAGATTATTATTTCCTCTTGTTCTCAAAACCAAGACAAAAATAAAGCATTCCTGAATTATGTGGCCCAAAATGACAAAAGAAAACAATACCTAGGTGTTTCCTGTGCTAAGTGTGGGCTTTCTGGCCACAGAGAGATTGAGCATTAATCTTCCAATGGGCCAGGTTCCTTGGCCCTGAGAAAATGTTCTGCTCTGAGGATTTATCATAGCTTTAATCCAGGCTGGCCATTTTTTGATGTGATTGCGGCCCTACAAAATGGGATTTTCCTAATGGATCAAACCCTATTTCTTTTCTCCGGATGTGCGTGTCTGATCACGGTGCACCTCTAGGAAATCACTTTTGAGCCTTTGGAAAAAGGTCTTTCCCCACACTCCAACACTCATGTTAATGACAAGGCTATCCGTTAAGTCCTCCAGGGACAAGGGAGTCCTCAGTCACCCTGGAGCATATATAAGGCACATTTAAGGCACAAACCAGCATTTGAAACAAGGTAGAAATTTGTGTGTGTGTCAGAAAGAGGAAAGAGAGACCCAGTGCTTTTGTCTTTTGAAGAGCTACCGATTGGCGAAATTGTCCCAGCGCCCTCCTACCCAGCATTCCCTAGCTCCAGACAGCACTTGGCCTCAATAACACTGAAAGGTCCTAGGAGTGACTGACTGGCTGAGTGGGAAGCCTGAACTCTGTCTCTGGCTCCTTCGCAGCCTCGCATCTCTCCGGTAACTGCCCTCCCACAGGGGCTCATGCCATCACATGTCTCCTAACCGTCTCAGCTGAGAAGCATTCAAATGAAATGGCTCTCACTAGAGCACTACCTGCTAATGGCTTCACGGTCCTACCCAGCATCACCACAAGCAAGAAAGCCGGCATCTTTAATAAAGGTTTTGCAACGACCGGATGCAACGGAACCAAAGTAATGACTCATGCAGACAAGAGGGGGAGGCTCAAGGCCTTCTCCTCCATCTCCAAGCTCCCATGTCAGCAAGCCCAGCATGGATGGCCCGCTTCCTCAGCAAAGAGCGGGATGTCTCCATTTGTGCACTGTGCTCACATACACACCCCATACGGTGTACGTGTTCAGTGAGCGGGCCCCAAAAGGTCCCTGATTCCTCTGATTCTCTCCCTGTGGTTTTGCTTGGTCTGAGGACATGGAAGAAAGGAGCCGTGAAGGGCCGAAAAATTTTAATAAAACACATGTGGCCAAAATCCTGGACATTGTCTCACTGTCAGCATAAAGATGAATCAATTCAACACTCCTGATCTATGGGCACGTGAGAGTCACCACCCTCTTTTGGCATTCAGGCTAAGTGGAGAGATTTAGGAAGAAAAATAACATGGTAATTATAGTTGGTCTGTAAGTATGTTGAGCTAAAAGCTGGCTTCATAATCGACAACTGAGTTCTCCGAGTCAAAGTCATTTCCAGTAGCAAAAAAGGTTATCTAATTTTGCCTACGCCGGTGTCGAAGCTTACCCCCACTCCCCACGCAAAAGGAACGACCTAGTTCAGCAACCGAGGCTCTGGACTCCTAATACTTCACAGGAACTCTTTCTTAGCCTAGCACTGAGGCCTTTCATTTCCAGCATCCGTTTCCAAGCACAAAGTCAAACGCCGTGTGGAAAGGACCAAGCCAGGGGGTCTGGGTTACTCAGGTCTCACCACGTGAAAAACTGCTTGTTCTCTGAATGTGCACAAGCCATCTCCTCCACCAGGGTAATCAAAGACAGGGAAGAGGGAACCCTGCTTACAGGACGAAAGAGAGAATTGATGTATTTATGAGTAATAATTTATGAGTAATAAACCATATTATTTATGGTTTATGATTACGCCAGCGGTGTCAGAGTTTTGAAAACCGAAGTTTGGAAGGGGGCGTCTGCTGCTGCTTGAAATCGGCAGGCTAACCAGGTATTACTGCCTAGGCTATGGGATCGCTCCATATGGGGAAACAAATCCACTGATGTCTGGCCTTAACCCCGGGACAGAAAACAACACACATCTGTGAATTACTTGGTATTAGTTGACTCTTCTGTGTCCTCTGGATGCCCTGGGACCCTCCTAAAGGGATAACTGCTTCGTTCCCTTTACCCACCCACATGGAAAGCGAAGGGCAGAGGCTTTTCTCAAAACAGCAGCAGGCTTGGCTCTTGAAACCCCTTCACATGGCCATTTGAGCTCCCAAGCTGAGGTCTCAGATCTCTAGATACAGGCTCAGTTCCAGAAGAACAGCTTCCCAGAAAGGACACCCCACTGTTTGGGGGTCTGGAGAGAGGGGTGACAAGCAAAGGCAGGTAGGGGAGAAAATAAAATCCTCAAGGTGCTAAGGGCAGGGGCTGGAAGCTTTCCAGCCCTTCCCATCTCCCGCCTCATTCAGAAAACAGGTTTTCTACCCTGGCTCCCTCAGGAGCCTTCAAAACCTGATCTGGTTCCACTGCAGCATGTGGGTAGGCTGACCCATTCTCATACTTCTGCCCTTAAATGCAAAACCTTTCCTTTCTCATCGATCGAATACTATTGGAGTTCATTCTTTTTTCCCCCTCAGCCCCCCACTCCCTCCCAGGCTACCTGTGCCTGATAATTACATGGCATTTTAAAGAAAGGGATGGACCGCAGCAGCCTGTGGCTCCACCCGACACCAGCCAGACCCAGCAAGATCTAGAGCTGAAGAGAAGGAGGGAAGGGAGAGGAGAGAAGCGGGGGCAGGGGGCATGTCAGCAGCCCCGCTGCCGGAACGACTCAGATGGCCTCTGCTCTCCCTGGCCAACGGCCCGGGCTGTGAGACTGCAGACAGCAGCCCTAATCCAGCTTCCACACATCGCTGAAAAGACACACTTGGCATGTCCCAGTCTGGAACTCTCTCCACCACAGCAGAGAGACAGAGAGAGAGAGAGAGAGTTATCACTTGCGGGGAGCCCCAGATGTGCCTCGGCAGACAAAGCAGAGATCTGCTTATGTGATATGATGGCAAATGCTAATGACACCAAATCCTGCATCTGATAAGACCCAGGTATGGGCTTAATCCCTCATAAGTGCAGGTTCCAATGACAGTGTAGGCAAAAGAGAGAGAGGAGGTAAAGCTAAAGGCCCTTCAGCTACTACTAAAAATAAAATACAAAATGTAAGCAACTTTCTTATACAATATCCTTCACAAGCTAGGGGAAAAGACTTATGGGGAATTTTCTACATTATACAATAAAAAGGCAATTTCCATTTCTTATCTGTATGAAAGAGGAAAGAAAATTTTAAACTACAAAAGTTACTTTTAATCATTAAAAACAAAAATAAAAGTGGGTTCGGGGGATTAGGTTGTATCTCTTTGGGTGAGCTGCAAGGTAGCCAAACCTGACTATAGAAGGTAAGACTGTGGAGACACAAATGTCCCGTACTCCAGCCCCAGGCCTCAGGCCCACCCTCTGTGTTGAGGCAGAAGAGGAGGGTACAGCAGAAGAGTCAGGGGGGTGGGGTGAAGGGGGCTGGGCACAGGTGTGGAGAGGCAAGCCAGCAAGGGTGTCCGCAACGTCTGATGCCGGGGACAGGGATTCCCTCCTATAATGGGAACAGGGTAGGAAAAGCACACGACCACAGAGCCACAGACCCGAGCAAGGTGTTGCTCTGTCTTTCCCTCTGACTTCATCCTATGGGACGACACAAGCTTAAGGGGATTTCCCAATGATAACAATAGGCCTCCAGTTGAAGGAGGAAGGAGAGGAGGAAGAGGAAGATGGAAGAGGAGGAGGAAGGGGAGGGGGATGAAACAGAAGAAGAAATTGGAAAATAGTAATAGTAATAAAAGCCACCATCTGGAGGATTGGGATCCCAGAGCTGGGGTCCCCTCCTAGCTCCAAAGGCCAACACAAGGCTTTGCCCATTTGGGGGGAGGCATCAGATCTCTTCAGTGTGGTTGCTAGCGGGAAGCCTCAGTGAGCTAATAAATACTATTTACAAACGGGGAGGAGAAGCCGAGGAGGCAGACCTACGGGGATGTGGGGAAGTCCTACAAGCAGCGAGATGGGGCAGGTTTGCCTGGAGTAGAAAAGCCTGAGTCCTTCAGGCATTGCACTTGCGGCCTGAGAATGGGGGTGTGGGGGAGCACCCTCGCTCCAGTGCGGGGAGGACGATCTGCCAGGGCTCGGACGGGGCAGAGTGGCAGGAGTGCTCACTGAAGGCCCCGGCACCTCCAGGGCTCTTGGGGGTGGACGCGCCGGCGACCGAGGCTGAGGAAGGCAGGACATCAGTCAGCGCTTTGCCAGATTCCAACAGTCATCCTGGTATTTTTGTGGCTAGAGTCTGGGGTCTCAAACAGGAAGCATCATCTCTTCTTCAGAGAGGTGGTCACACCCCAGAGTGAGAAACAGGCGGTCTCTTTTTGGCGCTATTGGTAGAAACAAGCCTGCTTGTCCCAGCCCCAGTCCTAGAAAAATGTCCTGTGGCAGCAAGCAAGAGGCAGGGAGGGATGCCAGGCTCCCATCTTCAAGGGGGAGAGAGGGGAAGGCGCTTTCTCACCATAGGTGGAAATCCCAAGCTGTCCTCCCATCCAAAGCCATGACTGCTCGCCCATGTCTTCATCCAGATCAAAGGCAGAAAGGAAAAGCTTATGACAAAGGGGGTTGGGAGATGTAAAAGGAGAGTGAAGTGAAAGAAGGAGGTGAAGACGGGCTCTTTAGAAGGTGGCGTTCACTCTTCTGTCGAGTTCTACAACTTTTAGTGTCTCATTCCCCTCCAGTTTGGTGCTGACCCTGCGAAGATACCGAAAGGAGAAAGAGTCTGAGCCACCAACGGACAACTATGATTCTCATGCTCGGGAGGATCATACAATCATTCCATGAGTAACTTTGTGGGCTGGCCCAAGCGGGTTCTTATTCTTTTCCCCCCTAATGGCAATCCTCTGTTCCCAAACTTTCCAGCTTCCAGCCCATCCACCTGTTCACATGCTTACCTTCATCCCCACCCAAGAGGAGACATTCCCAACTCAGAGGATAAACATGGCGGTTTGATGCTGATCTGTCATAAACTGCTTTAAGGTCATGTATTTATTGGGTGGTGTGCCCTATGCTAGACTCTGGAAAGAAGAAAATTGAAGGATAAAGTCTGATTCCTGGTCTAGAATAATAATTCAAATAAATTAAAAAGAAAAAGCTAACTTGAAATAACACTAGACACATAACAGAAAATACATGTTATTAAACTGTATAATAGCCTAGAAAGTCTCTGGGCATTCAAAGGAAGATTTGGGGGCTTTGGTATCAGGGAGAAATTCCAGAACAAGTGAGGTTTCGATGGGGCCCTGAATAGTTGAGCCAAGAGGGGAGAAGACTTGTGTCATGAGCCACAGAATCAAGCAGCTGTGTCTTCTACAGCTGCCAGTGGCTCCTCTACAAATTTCTCCATGATGGAAATAATAAGAATGCCTAGCCTCTTAAAGTATTTAAAAGGATTTATATATCACATTTGCATAGTGCTTAAAAGAGTTGGTGCTAGTAAATGTTAAATATGCATGTATAGCGTAAACATATAAAAGTACATATCATTATGAACCTTGCCCCACACCTTTGGGGGGGGAGGGGGAAAGCTGAGGAATTTGAAATGGAATCTTCAAGTGGGAGCACTGGTGTTGGAAAAGCATACTTTCTGGAAAGCACAGGCACCAGTGCCAAGATCACCCATCACACCAGCCATGCCCAGGAGTGTGCGTGCAGACCCTCCTTCCTGTGCGGCACAGCGTTTTTAGGAACCCACCCCAGCATGGTAACAGTATCTGGCCATCCTATATGTCTCTGTGTTTACAAAGAGACTGTTCTCCATTAACTATCGAAAAGAAACAACTGACGGAGGGGCGCCTGGGTGCCTCAGTCAGTTAAGCGACTGACTTCAGCTCAGATCATGATCTCACAGTTCATGGGTTCCAGCCCCGCATGGGGCTCTGTACTGATGGCTCAGAGCATGGAGCCTGCATCAGATTCTGTGTCTCCCTCTCTCTCTGACCCTCCCCTACTCATGCTCTGTGTCTCTCTCTCTCAAAATAAATAAACATTAAAAAAAATTTTTTTAATTAAAAAAAAGAAACAACTCACGGAGAAGTGGCGCCCAATACATTATTTTCAATATGGGATCACGTATAGGCACAGTGCCTCTCAGACGATGTCCCTCAATATAAATATAAAATTATAATTCATACATGTTTATTTACCTCTAAATCATAAAAAATATATATTGACATATAGCTGGACATCTACGTGTCTCCAGCTAGAAGGAAGGAAGGGGAGGCTCTTAAGGCTGCGTTCGCATGGCAAGCACACCGCTACGGCCGGGCTGTATGTGATTTATGGGGCTTTGAGGGGAGGCAGAAGGGAGTCAAGCCCTTTCCTCACCTCTTGGAGCCACCACCACTAGTTCCCCCGTGACAGAACCGACCCAGGGGCAGTTCATCCTAGGCCTTGTCCCCAGTCTCCGCTAAGAGCAGCTGTTGGCAAGTAGTAAACTCCAGAGTCCCGGGTCCTGGAAATAGGTCCCAAAAGAGGCCAGGGGCTGCACGGCGCCTACGGGCAAGTCTACACCCCATGTTCCAGGTTGCTGACTCACAACCCATCATCAGTGCACCTGCGTGTATTTGACTCACAAGTGCTGCTGTAACTCCAGTAGCACGGATTTCTCCAGGCTGCTCTCATTTGAGACAATGAAATGGGGAAGATCCACTTCTGGCCTGGGATCCAACCCCGAGGCCCTGAGCAGAGAGGAGCCTCTGTCCCAAGGCCCAAGTTCCCCCGCCGAGGCTGGGCTGGATGGCTCCTCCAGGGGAGAATGTTCCTCGTAGATGAGCAGATTCCTGGATCTCACTGAGGACAGAACAAAGTAACAGGTGTTGGGGAAAGAGCGCAGGGTTTACACATCCCTTCACTCACTGCCCAGGGCTGGGAGCAGATTACAATTTGTGGGTTCTTGTTGCCCAGAACGGAGGGTGCCAGCTGGAGCTGGCTTTCCATAAAGGCTTCAGGGTTTCAGAGTTTCATACATTGAAAAATTATACCAATTATACAGTGCTGGAAGAACAAAAGAAAAGCAAATAAACATGAAGCAAACTTCCACCCCCACTGCTTTGAAAATAAAACTCCCCTCCTTGCCCACCCAGAACCATCTGGGGAAAACAATTCATGAGGAATGGGAGTCAAATACTTGGAGATGTCCACACAAGCTAAAATAAGCAACATTTCCAATGAGTCGGTCTTGCATGGAGAGAAGGTACAAGGGCAGAAAACTGCATTTTCATTTAGAAACCCGAGAGGAGACACAAAGCCAAAGCCATAAATCAAATCACTGAGACAGTTCCTTTGTTTTATGGGATTGCTGTATGGCTAGATGGCTCTGTAGCAATTTTCTACAACACAGAAACTCTGCTCCCATTGGCTTCCATTTAAATGTACAGATAACATTCCCTTAGGGGAAAAAAAGGACTTCCCAAGAGATCACTGAAATTATCCGGTTGAAATGTTAGCCTTTCTGTCATACACCTGGCAGAGATACAACTACCTGGTGAGGACCAGAGACCTTTCAGGACGACAAAACGGTGCCTCCCCCAAATCCAGTACCTCTAAATCCATCCACACTTGTTCTTATCAGCGTGTGTGTGTACTGGTGTATATATTATGACCACCCACAGACCACTTTGTTACTTCCTACACTTAAAAGGGATGGGTGATCTAGGTGAGGCTACCACTCACTTTTCTAACACCTAAGTCTCTAAATTCTCCCAATCTTGGCCATAATGTTTTATAAGACAGACTGATTCATTCCTCAGATTCTTACTACAGTAACATACAATTCCACTGAATGGAAGGAGAAACACAGGAGTTCCTTTAAAATGTCCTGGAAAGCTTAATGCTCCCCCCATCTATCCCCCCCAAATCTACATCCCACCCCCTTATCAGAGCTCAAAAAAGAGACCTTAGAAATTGCCAGGGAACACAGTCTACAGCAATAGTTTGCAAACTGTGCTCTGTCAGGCTCTAGAGAATTCCCAGGGGTGCCTCTGCCCGGTTGGTGAAGGACACAAGGGGAGACCCAAGGACCGGGGCACCAGACCCCCATGTCTCTCTTCCCTCCCTCACTAGAGAAGCTACACTTTTACCACTTTATAAAAATTAGACTTTCTCATAAGACTCCCTTTGGAAAGTTGAACTTTCAAAAAGCTCCAGAGAAAGGAAACAAGATCCTTTACAAGCTGCTGAGCACTGCCTTACCGACAGAGGCTGTATACGGCTCCTGCGTGGAACGCTGGCTGGGCAGAGCCATCTTGGTAGCAGCCGGATAGGGCCCATAGCCCTGAAAGAAGCTGCCAAATGCAACAGCAAAGCACAGCACGACCACCTGCGGTGGGGAGGAGAGAACACATGACCTGTCACTTCCAAGGTCCACAGAGCCAAAAGTGAGCCCCGCACCACCTGGAAAGTCCAGGCAGACTCCCCTTCATCCGGTCACCAGAATGTACCATCAGGCCACCCACTGTCACATCACAGCAAAGCAATTGCCTCTGAGCGAGCTGCACGGTTCCTCCCACTGCACCTGGACTCGGCAAGGTGGGGAGACACTGGAGATGGGGGGCGGCTGGGGCACTCGGGGTGCCGTCTCTTTGGGAAACTCACCATGAGGCACGTGCCGGTCTGCGTGCCCGCCAACTTGCAGGTGCGTGAAACTTTGCCCATCACCAATGTCTGAAGCTTCTGTAGTTGCTGCAGGAGAGTTCTGCAAATGCAACAAATCAAAGCCATGAAGGGAGTCTGGGACCGCAGAGAGTGTGTTCCAGAGCTTTGTGCCTGAATCTGCACACGGTTCCGAGACAGAGTTTCATTTAGAGGAAGATAAGGACATGGTGCCTTCCAGCACCAGCGCCGTAGAGCTTCCCAGAGCCCGGGAGGAGCCCGTTTGAACAGTCCGTCCAGGTCTTGTGCTGTTCTGAGTAAGAGGTGAATGCCCCAAATTACCCCTGACAGGCCAGGCCTTGTCTGTCAGCCACTGACAAAAAAAAAATTTTTTTGATGGGCGGGTGACGGTGATACAGGACAATTCATTTACCCACGAGAGGAGAAACAGTGAGGCAGACATCAGGAATGAGAAAAGCAAAGAGGAGAGGAAAATGCCCAGGGGAGACAAACTGAGGGAGCGGCAGGAGGTGATGATGGTAGTATCAGCGAGCCAGGGTCACTTAGACAGCAAATCTGAGGAGAACGAAAGGAAAAACAAGAGTGGCAGGGAGGCAACAGCCAGAGGCCTGTGGTTCTTGAAGGCTCACGGCATCTCTGGAGTCAGAAATGAAGCCAAAATATGACAGAGCAAAGAGGCCTGCTCAACTGGACATCCTCAGGATCTCGAAAATGGTCCTCCCATACGGACTCTGATTTTTCTCCAAGAGGAGACAGGCAGCAGGAGAAAAAGAGAGTTCTCTCCCTAAAACTGGACAGCTCTTAAAAGGTTGTGCATACCCTTAAAAGGGAAGGGTTTGGGATGAGGATGCTATATTCTGGTCTGTGTGACATCAGGTCACAGAAAGAGCAGATGGTGAAATTCTTCATGAATTTTGAACAGGGCGAGCCACAGAAAAGGATCTGACAGCATGGCCTCCTGAATCAGAGCCCCTGGGATGAGTCCCTGCGAGCAGCGTGGACCTGAGCTCCTCCTTGCCCCGCCCCCTTCTCCAAGCCCAATGCATATGGCAAAGTGGGAAGATTGTATAAGCAGATGCTTTCTCTTGAGTCTTAGAAATTTTCAAAGAAATTCAGGCCGTAATGTCACATCAGAAAGCCAGACAAGTTCACTGGGAAACTTCAGAAAATCTCTTGTTTGCAGAATCCTGGGCTCTTGCAGAGAACTTGCCTCTCACCATGGTCTGTCTCCTGAATAGCTTTCAAGTACTCGAAGGACAAGCTGGTGTTCCAGAGGTTGCAACATTTACCCTGACAAGTGCCAAGGAAACGGGTTGTCCCAGGGTTTAAGCCAAGCAGGAAGAGGTTAGCCATAGCATGATATTGCCTTCAGCAGCTAGATGGCTAAGAATGGGGGCAGAATTGGGACAGCACACAGCCCATGAGGCAGAGGGCTTCTGAACTCAGAAAACCTGTGTGGTTCTCATGAATTTAAGCCAAATCAAATAAAAGCATTCATCCCATTAATCAATGTCACTAATTAATATTTTTTTATTTTTATTTATTTCTAGGAGAGAGAGAGAGACAGCGTGAGCAGGGGAGGGTCAGAGAGAAAGGGAGATACAGACTCTGAAACAGGCTCTGGGCTCTGAGCTGGCAGTCAGCACAGAGCCCGACGCGGGGCTCGAACCCACGAACCGCGAGATCATGACCTAAGCGAAAGTCAGACGCTTAACTGACTAAGCCACCCAGGCACCCCTCATTAATTTATTTTTTTAATATATTTTTATTTATTTATTTTTGAAAGACACAGCATGAGCAGTGGAAGGGCAGAAAGAGAGAGGAAGAGAGAGACAGAATGTTAAACAGGTTCCACACCTGGAGTGGAGCCCAACTTGGGGATGGACCTGAGCCCAAATCAAGAGTAGGGACACTTAACTGAGCCATCCAAGGCACCCCATCAATATCATTAATTTAAATTCTATTAATATGGAGATCTTTTTAGCTCTTTGTTGAATATTTTTTGTTTTATGGTTATCAAGAAGCATAATCACACGTAGTTTGGACCTGGTTTATGTATATTCAGGCAACATGTTCTTGGGGCGTGTGGGTGGTTCAGTGGGTTAAGCATCCAACTTCGTCTCAGGTTGTGATCTCACGGTCCATGAGTTCGAGACCCGTATCAGGCTCTGTGCTGACAGCTCAGAGCCTGAAGCCTGCTTCAGATTCTGCGTCTCCTTTTCTCTCTGTCCCGCCCCTGCTCATGTTCTGTCTCTCTCTGCCTCTCAAATATAAATAAATGTAAAAAAAATTTTTTTAAATAATAAAATTATTCTGTATGTTACTCAAGGCTTATAAATACTGACAGTACGGTTATTTTAAATCCTACTCAGAGAGAGCCTGTCATTTGTGACAACATGGAAGATAAACCTGGAGGGCATTACACTAGGTGAAATAAACCACACAGAGAAAGAAAAATACCGCATGGTATTACTTATACATGGGACTCTAAAAAAGAAAAAATAATGTTTTAAAAGTTGAACTTAGAAACAGTAAAAAAAAAAAAAAAAAAAGTAGCTGCCAACAAATAGAGGTTGGGGGAATTGGGGAAAAGCTGATAAAAGGAGATAAACTTTCAGCTGTAAGATGGAGAAGGTCTGAGGATCTAACATATAACATACAGACTATATAACACTGTATTGGATCATTGAAATTTGCTAAGAGAGTTGAACTTAAATGCACTCAACAAAAAGTTAAAAACAAAAAACAAAAAGTAAATATGTGAAGTGATGGATGTGCTCATTAACTTGATATGAGAAATATTCTGCAATGCATGCATATATTTAATCATCATGTATATTTTAAGTATCTAAAGATTTTGTCAATTATACCTCAATGAAGCTGAGAAAGAAAGGGGAAAACAAGTAAGAGTTTGCAAGTTAAGGAGCATATACTGTAGCAAGGTTTTCCTCATCCAATTTGTTCCCTTATCCAGCACTTCCTAAGAGCACTCCATTCTTTTATTATTTTTTATTTTTATTTTTTATTTCTAGGAGAGAGAGAGAGACAGAGTGAGCAGGGGAGGGTCAGAGAGAGAGGGAGTCACAGACTAAAACAGGCTCCAGGCTCTGAGCTGGCAGTCAGCACAGAGCCCGACGCGGGGCTCGAACCCACGAACCGCGAGATCATGACCTAAGCGAAAGTCGGACGCTTAACTGACTAAGCCACCCAGGAGCCCCTCTTTTATTATTTTTTAAAAGTTTATTTATTTATTTTGAGAGAGAGGAGGTGGCGAGGGGCAGAGATAGAGGGAAAGAGAATCTTAAGCAGGTTCCACGCTGTCAGGGCAGAGCCCCATGCAGAGCTCGAACTCACAAACTATGAGGCCATGACCTGAACCAAAATCGAGTGCCAGATGCTTAACCGACTGAGCCGCCCAGGTGCCCAGAGCATTCCATTCTTCTCCACTAGCATAGCTGCCTTTCCCCAAGCCGGGCGCTAGGTGACCTGTTGCAGATCCACTTGCTGGGTGAGTGTTCCTTCTTGCAGAGCCAAGATGTGGCTGGCGGGAGCTTACGTTTTATGGACCACCGTCTGTGATGCCAGCCCCAAAGCCCTCACTGGGTTTCCCTGCTCTATTTTGGGATTCCTGGGGCAGGATACATAGGTAAGCCCACAAATAAGACCAGTATTTGACCGGAGGGCACAAACCCTTTTCTCTCAAATTCTGGCCTCCTCCTGTGGTCCCGGATTAACGTTTCTGTCCCTGCTAAACTACGGAAAGGGGCCTCCTGGCCTCCTGGCTTGCTGCTGACAAACCACGTCTTGAAGTGTTGGCTGCCACTCCGTGGGAGGGGTGGGGGGCACTTCAACTCCCACGGGGCCCGCCTGCTGCCTAGGCTGGCAGCCTGAGGCGCTCAAGTTCAGCTGTGCTCTGTGCATTTCCCCATCCAGGCTTTAGCTAGACAGCAGCATTCCAGATGTTCCCAGACCCATTTCCTCTTCCTCCCAAGCGTCAAGGTGATTTTCAAAGTGAAACCATCTCCATCTTTTCCCAGCCATCTGTTCACTCACAACCATCCTACACTCCCTCCCTGCTCATTTCCTGCTCCTTGCCCAGGCCTTGGGCAAGAAACACCAAGAAAATCAATTCCACAAATTACTTGGAATCATTCCGCCCTTCAAATTTCTCGTTGAGATGGATAGGCCTGGTACCATCTCCCAGGAGGCTCCACTGCACCCCCTGAACACAGAGCTCTAACAGAGCAGACATGCCTAAACACCAATGGTAGAATGTCTTAGCCTCAAGTTGGGACCCCCAGATATAGGGGCCAAGTGCTACAAATTTGGAAGAAGGGCCATTTAAGTCTGGCTGGTGAGCAGGGAAGGCTTCACGTACTCCAGGTATATAGAGCATTCTACTTGGCACTCAGCAGCAGATCTTCTCGAAACTCAAGATAATTATATTCTGAATCCACTGCAAATGAAAATAGTTGTTTCATGGTCCCTGATTTCTAACAGCTTATAATCCAACTCTTTAAGATGAACAAACATATAGTTTTAAAATAGATTTTTGGGGGTTTTTTTAGCTTGAAATTTCAGTGGAAAGGAACAGTGATTGATAATGTGCTATTTGCTGCTGTTTCTCCTACTCAGATCAGTGGAGGTGAACAGAACTGATGGCAGAAATTATCACACTCTGAAGTCCATCAATCAGCAACTCCGAGTGATTTCACCCAAGGAAAGAGATTTAGCTCATCCATTCCCAAATTTAAACAGATTTCTATGATCCAATCAAGTCTGCAAAATTCATAGATATTCATTCTTACAAGAGGAACACTCATTTTTGTCATAAGGAATGGAAATTAACAGTGAGTGAGAACTCACTGATTGAGTTCTAGGAACTCTGTATTTCGTAGGAGATATGAAATAACTGTCTGAAAGACATGTAACTCATTAACTTGTTAAGTGAAGACCTAATTAATATATAAACTAAACCTGATGCTGTAGTTCACGTACTTTCCAATGCACTGCAACACAGCTACCCCAGTTTATAACCTAATAAAATGAGTAACCAAAATACTTCTTGGTTGAGTAGATTTT